GAGTCACTTTTTGTGAGATGGGTGGTATCTAAATTTGAAATATAAATAAATAAAAATAAATTATGCTAGGTTACGCTGTGGGCTGCTGTGTAATCGTTACAGGATTGTTGTACTTAGGGATATGACTAATTTAATTACGGAGGTAGAGCATTACATTATTTTTACTTGTAATCTATTTTGGTGTGGACATTTTAATGTTTACTGTTTACCAGAGTCCATTGGAGTTGGGCAGCTAATAAATTCAAATAAATAATAATAATAAAATAAATAATAATTTATCAGACAATAAGCAAGCCCAGACTCGGATGTGATGTATTCTTTGCAACACTCCAAGATCAGCTCTGGACCCAGAGGAGGAATGAGCAACCCCAGAAGATGGTTTAGCTGGGCCATCTACAGGGCATGGTCAAAAAAGTCAAGATGGTGGCTGTGTTGGTGTGATCAAAGTTCTGTCCATTTTTTAATGTATGTATGTATGTATGTTGCATGTGACACCCATATAAAACAGGCAAAGCTTCAATCATACCATCCCAGCCATCACCTTGACTTTTTTACCACAATGTGGCAACACCTCTATAGTTTAGCATTGGTTATATGGAAATCAGAGTAAATATACAGCTTTTTTTCAGTAGTACTGAAGCAAAACATAGCAGCACAGCAGGGAATCCTTGGAAGAACACACAAGGAAACACAAATCATCCTTTTTCCCGAAAGAAATTCGAGCTGAAAATCTTGCAGGCTTCAATATAGCTTCTATGAACCATAATCTGAAGCCATTCCTGTTTCAAGTTTATTTTTTCTTCGACCATGACATTTTGTTTGAATTCAGATGGGGATGGATATATGTTAAAAAGGATTAACTACTCCTTTCTAGCTTCTGGGCCTTACAATGGAACTGCTTCTTCAACTCTATCTCTATTGTTGCAGTTTGGTTTTCTGTTCCTGGGCAGGTCTGTTTGCAGACCCAAGGTTTTGGGTAGACACCTAGTCTTTCTCCACCCTGCACATGCTAGTTCCAATTAGACCATGATGTATATATATTTGTTTTTTAAAAAATAAATAAATAGAAAGTGCTAATGGTAGCAAGCTGCTGTTGGCAATGTTTACATGTTATGCTCTCTGAGACAAGCCAAGACTCTTCTTACCTATACTTAATGTTAAGCTTGCTTAGTGTTACATACTCATCTCCTTTTCAAGGGCACCCCTTCAGGCTAAAGCACCCCAATGCTGCCAAAAACCAAAGAGAAGAGTTAGTTTGGCTGCCAAGTAGAATTGGTGTAGGGAATTAAGAGCAGTGAAAAGGAACATGATTCTTTCCCTGAAGAACCAAGGAAAAATATGCCTTTCAGGATTTTGCTTCTGCTACGTGGTTTTGGGAGAGATATATTACTCCTCACCAAAATGAGGCTAATTAAATTGAAAAGGAGGGATGGGGGGATTTGTTTGGAAATAGATGATGATGCCTTAGAAAGTTCTCCAATTAGAAAGTTCTCCAGTCAGGAGATCTAGCAAGAAACACAAACACAGGGCCAAGCTTATAAACAGGATACAAGTTTGTCTGTAAAGAAAAAAACAAACTCCGACTCCATGATGGTCTGTCCTCAAATGTATTATGGATCATGCATTTCACTTCCAATGACTAGATCCACCTGCAGTGCTACAACATACAGGATGCAGCCAAAAAGTATGGAAGATTGAATATGACTGAGAGGGACACCAAACTTTTCAACTGATAACAGAAAGCTACACCACAGCAAAGGAAAGGATTTCAGATTGGGGAAGATCTCAGAGAAACTGATTTCTCACTTACTGGAAAATATAAAGCACGTAGGTTTTTATATTATACTGTAGACTGGGACTGGGACTCCTATCCAGTCAACTGAATACCCGTCACAGTTCAGGGAATAATTGTAATCCTCCTCCTCCTGAAAAAAGAGTGGACCACCTAGTCAGCTGCTACAAGAAGATCGCATAGACTGACTACAAACACATGACAAAGTAGCAATAATGGTGCATTGGAATATCTGCAAACAATACCATTTGCCTGCAAGCAGGT